AGAGTATATGAAGGCTAAGGGCATGGACCTTATAAAATAAATTTTTGGAGAGTATATGAAGGCTAAAGGCATGGACTTGGATATTAGGGTGGTGAAAAAGAAATCCATAATTTTTATACGAATTATAGGACATTATTTATCATACTTCGGAATGTCCGATTTGGGCTCTTGTGTTGTATGATTTGTTGCCATAATGTCTCTCTCATAGAAGTCCTGCTCTCTACTTGCAAAAAACTGTATGACGGATGTATTCAAACTTCCCAACCAAGCTCCCACAGTTTCTGACGAGTTACTGTATATGGTCTAGCGTTGTCCTGGTGGAACACGACACCTCTCCTGTGTCGTAAACCTGAAATTGTTTGATCGATACTTTACTATAAATCTATCACTACAGCCATCTGCCGAAAAAATGATGGATTTTTCCCCCAACCTAATATTTTCGGAGAGTATATCGAGGTCAGGAATCTTGGTTATTTAAGTAATGTCATCGTGGAACTAAAGTGGTTAGACCTATAGAACGGATTTCATTTTTTAAATATTTTGTAGGAATTTGGATGCCTAATGATTGTATATTTTTAACGTTTTTGAGGGACTATTTAATCTACATTCTTTGTTATTTTGTAGGAATTTATTTGAGCAATTATAGAGAACAAAGGTGGGGATTTAAAAAAAAAATGTAAGGTGTTTTCATAGAATTTTATTGGGGCAATACAGGGGAAAAGCTTGGATTTTTAATAATGTTTTGAGGGATTTTTTTTTTCTGTGGACATATAGAGGTCGAAAACTTTGGACAGGCGTGGATTTAAAATAAAAATAGTTTTTGTGTTCTTTCCAAATCTTGAATTTTAAAACAATTATCAAAATTTGTTAAATTTGTATTATAGCCTCATACAACGGCACCTATCAACTTTCAGTATATTGAAAAGTTTGAAACTGTTTTCAACCAAAATGTATTATAGCCTTCATCATTCCGTATGTGGGGCTACATTTTCTACACGTAAAAGCCCAGCACCTTTATATGGTCCCAGGGGTAATTTCCAACCTAATTGAATACATTTAAGCTTGGTATTCAGTACTGTGGTGTGTAAACAAATTATTTTCAGAAGATTTTCACGATAAGTCCATGTTTGTACATAGCTTCCGTAAAATGGACTTGTGTAATTTTAGTAATGATTAAAATCCTAGCTCATTTTTTTACAAACGGATTGTCTGTAGTTTGCTTTTCGTTTTCTCCGGCCAGCAATTTCCCGTGACATATTCCTCATATAAAAGTCGAGATCAAATTTAGGTAGTTAAAATCTACAGCTGATGGTGAATGTAAAAAAGATTACCATATTAAAATTTTTACAGTATTATGATGTAGATTTGTTCAAATCTCAAAATAGCGGGAAAAGTCGGGAAGAGAGTCGTCTTTAAAAACAGAAAATTTTTCGGGGGCCCAGAAAAAACCGAAGTTTTAATTTTTATAATTTCAAGCGGAGCACGGCCTTTTTGGGAATTGTTAAATTATATATAATTTGTATGTGCAAAATAAGTAGTTGTCCTTTAAATGTTGTAAATATTTTATTGATTTATAAACTCGAATATAGCAGTTACATTAAAATGAGGTTTAGATATTTTTTTTTTTTTTTTTTTTATTATTAAGTCTATGGATTACAAAATCCTTACAGACTAAACTAAAAACTAAAAATATTTACAATATTATATTATAATATTAGGCATTTAAGTGTAATATAATTTTTCTTTTTACGCTATCACGATTATCAGAAAGATCGAAAATATTGTATAGTTTGTTAAATTCAACAAAAAGGCGGCGGAGGGGATCGTTATTTGCATAATTAGTACAAAAATACTTTATCTGTAGTAGCTGATAGTTACGAGTTGACCTGAAAGGCACATTTATAAGAATTCTGTTTAAAATAAAGTCGGAAATGATTTTACCTTGAATGACATTTAATATAAACGTAATATTTAGCATAACTCGACGACTTTTTAGCGTCGGTAATTTTATTAAACCTAATCGAAATTTATAAGATGGTAAAGATAGTGGAGTCCATCCACGACTTTTAAGACAAAATAAAAGAAATTGCTTTTGTACAGATTCGATTGAATTTGAATGAATTGTATAAGCCGGATCCCATATAATTGAACCATATTCTAAAATGGAACGAACAAAAGATATATATAATTGCTTTGTAACTAATGGATCAGCAAATTCTTTGCACCATCGCTTAATAAATCCTAATACTTTATAAGCCTTACAGGTCATAAGGGAGATATGTTCTCTAAAATCCAAACGATTATCTAAAAGAATTCCTAAATCAGTCATAGAGTCAACATACTCAACTTTCTAATCATGTAAATAGTAAATAGTTTCAATCCGTTTTATCCTAAAAAATGACATATGTTTACATTTCAATACATTTAGTTCTAATAAATTTGTATCACACCATTTATTGAAACTATTTACGTCAGCTTGTAAAATTTCTTGGTTTGTAATATTATTTAATGAGTAGAAAATCTTCACATCATCTGCGTACATTAACACATGAGATTGACTTATTACACTGGGTAAATCGTTTATAAATAATGTGAACAAGATTGGACCAAGATGACTCCCTTGCGGAACACCGGATTTAACACATATTTTATTTGAAACAACTGTTCCAAATTTAACCATCTGAACCCTACCAGTTAAGTACGATTTTATCCATTTCAAAAACAAATTTGAAAACCCCATGAGGCATAGCTTCTGTAACATTAATATATGGTTCACTTTATCAAATGCCTTACTAAAATCGGTATAAATGCAATCAGTTTGACTACGATTTAAAAATCCTTCATTGACAAGTGTACTTAGTTCCAAAAGGTTTGTTATTGTTGATCGATTCTTTCGGAAACCATGTTGGTATTTTGACAACATTGATGAAACCTGGAAGGATAATGACTCTGTTATCATCTTTTCGAAGAGTTTTGGAATTGCATTTAGTTTTGCAATGCCCCTGTAGTTTGATACATCTGTTCTACTACCAGATTTAAATAATGGAATAATAAATGATTCCTTCCACATAGTGGGGAAATAACCTGTTGTTATAGATTTTTTAAACATTAAATAAAGTGGGTATGCAAGATTATCAGCACAATGCTTTAATATACATGCAGGAACTCCATCCGGACCAGGCGTAGTAATATTTTTCAAACTTTTTAAATTATTTAAAACTGTCACAACGTTTAATGAAGGCGTATTTATTGAACAAAACTCAGGAATTGTGTACGGATATTGAAAATCATCAGTGAGGAACTTATTAGAATATGTTGTTTTAAAAAACGATGCAAATGCATTTGAAATGCCAGTATCATCATCGAAACAATCTAACCCATATTTTAGGGTTTTTGGATACAACCTAGATCGTCGCTTTGTGTTAATAAAGCTATAAAACGATTTCGGGTTCGTTACTAACTCGTTCTTAATTTTATTGATATATCTCTTATATTGCTCTTTGTTTAAGATGTTGTATTTTGACCTGATGCTGGAGTAATTTGCAAAGTCAGAAAGCGTACCACTTTTCTTGAATTTTTTGTATAACTTGTTCTTTTTGTTCTTTAATTTTGACAATATAGCTGAATTCCACGGAGGACCAGTTTTTTCCGCAATTTTCGCTTTAGGCACAGCTTTAGAAATACCATTCTCTAGAATCGAATAAAACATATTTAACATTTCATCTAGGGAGCCTAATGATTGAAGTTGTGTCCAGTCAATAGAACTTAAAAAGGAATTTAAATTAGTGTAGTTTGTACGAGAAAAACAGTATATAGTTTTATTTATCTGATCCGCAGAAGATTTAGGGGGATTATTTGCCAAAGGATACTGTAGCTGAATAGTGGGATGATATTTATCTTCAGGGTGTACAAGTGGATGACAAGGAAAGAGCAAGATATCACGAGGATGACTCACAAATATAAGGTCGAGCAGCTTCCCAAAGGAATTTTGAATATTGTTGATTTGGGACAGGCCGGTGTTAAATAAGGGACTAATACATTGGTTAACACGATCACAACTTGTAATTGGCATAAATTCATAAGAATTGGAACTGTGAGACCATTTAATATTAGGCAAATTAAAATCGCCAAGGGTTATACAAATATCATTATCTTTAGCTGATTGATATAAATCTAGAATGAATGATGTATGCTTAATGTATATGTCAACGCTTGAATTAGGTGGAATATATGAGCATGTTATATACAACGTTATATTGCCCAACCGAATCTTAACAGCTACAATTTCAATATCTAGAGATACGGGAAAGATTATCTCTTCTGTAGAAAATTTTGAAGCAACAGCTAATAAAACTGATATTGATATTATTTAGAAGTATTATTATCACCCACTGTCTGCGAGACACACCAGGAGGAATTTTTCACCGACACAGGAATTAGTTTCAAGGAAGAAATTAAAAATGCATCAATATTTTGATGCTAAACGATTTTAAAAATGCTAAATATAGCGCTTAATTGGCAACACTGTTTGTGAATCGAAATTTTAAATATCTTTAAAGTAGTTATAAATTCAACAGTTATAAATAAATCTATACACAGTGTTCATTTCAAAACTCACCATATTTGTTTTTTGCTTTTAAAATATTGTATATAGTTAGGATTTTTATAATTAATAATAAAACTAAAACATATAAAAACATAATAATATTTTATATACATTTAATTAATATGTACATTGTTTGTTATTGTTGTAGATAATATTTTTTGGCTAAAAAACGATCACTAATATTTTTTTATTTCTTTTTTATTTGCTTTTATTTTTCTGTTCAATATCAATTTTTGCGTTTCATTTTGATGGTTTTATTGGAAAAATATTACGTGCTGCTGGCTGGCTAACTGACTGACATACAACTACACATCTTGCAAAACGGCTTGGCTTAATGTCCATAACACTATACCTAAAAAACACGCTCATTAAATATATTTGCACCACAACACAGTTGTTAATTCGCATACTACCAATAATGATAATCCCAGCGCTCCACCAGCTCCCAGTGCACCCGCCTTCAATACTGGAGGTTCTGGCGGTCATAGCTTGTATCCCAGCTTGCCTAGCGATAATCGCGGTTCAATGGGTGGTGGTGGTTATCAACCCGGCGGTTACAATCCCGGTGGTTATGTACCACCAGGTTATCAAGGCGGTTATGGTGGTGGTTACACTCCCCCAGCTCCTGGTTATGGTGGCGGACAAGGTGGTTATGGCGGTGGTCATGGTGGGTATACTCCTCCAGCTCCTGCACCAGGTCGTGCTCCCACCAAAGAAAAAGAGGGTGGTGGTTTCTTCTCGAATTTCTTATCCAGTCCTGAAGTTCGGAATGCTGTAACCGGTATTATTGCTGGACAAATTGCCAATACCTTGAGAGGAGGTGGTAATCAACCACAGCCCAGCCAACCCAGCGGTGGCTATCAGCCAAGTGGTGGTTATGGCGGTGGTTCCTCATCCGGCGGTTCCTCATCATCCGGTAGTACTGCCAGTAATATCTTGGGCGGTTTATTGGGCAATGTTTTGTCTGGTGGCGGCGGTGGTGGCAGCAGCAGCGGTGGTAGCAGTGCCAGCAGCTTCTTGGGCAGTGTTTTGTCTGGTGGCGGTGGTGGCGGCAGCAGCGGTGGTAGCAGTGCCAGCAGCTTCTTGGGTAGTCTATTGGGCGGTGGCGGCGGCTCTGGCGGTGGTCACAGCAGCTCTGGTGGTTTGGGTGATATTCTATCTTCAAAGAATTTCGGTGGTCTTTTCAGTGAGAATCCATCAAAATCCGGTTCTTCCTCATCGTCCTCCAGTTCCAGTGGTGCTAAAAACTATCCCACCCAACCACCAGCATATGGAAACTACATGGGCTACAATGGTTAACTGCAATAAAAAAGCAGAACCCAAAGTTTTATTTTTTGTCATTAAAAGGAAATATATTGCTTTAAAAAGTTTATAATCGTATTTTTATATCAATATTTTATTTTTTTGAAATTATACTAACATTTGATTTTACTCTCTATCTTCTTTTTTTCCACATAGCCTTAGTTAAATATATTTTTTCATGAAAAGACAAACTAACAAAAATAATTCAAAAAGATAAATAAATATATATACATACACAAGTAAATATGAACAAATACATACTCCTCCTACCATTTAAACAAAATACAAAAAGTAAAGAGAACAACATAAACCAGTAAAGAAAATATTTTTATTGAATCAAATCCCCCATACCTTCAAATCCGTAATCAATGTAATAATTCTCAGACGATATATATTGAAATTGTGTAAATACATAACTCACTCTTCCGATACTCTTAAAATATTCCATAGAAATTTTTAGAATAAAAATTAAATGAATAAACAGTAAAAAAACAACAACAACAATCATAAATGTAAAGTGACTTTTATTTGAATATATTGGACAAAAAAGGTAAGTTGGATTATCAAAGAGGATGGAGAACAGTATGAAATGGTTGTTTCAAACAGACAGGCAGAAGGAGGAACGGTTATGGATACAACCGACTCAGGAAATAATTTGATGTATACGCTCATGTCATGTACAAAAGCATAATACCCTGTGGTTTGTACACTCCACAATAAAGAGGACATTCAAAAATATGTAAAGTCTCAAATTCTACTTTTCTTATATTAAATCGTCATTTTAATTTCAAAATATAGTTTGTGAATTAAATAAAATCAAGTAAAAAATTCAAAATTTAATAGTTTTCTTTGGAGGTTATGGAAATTTATTTATTTATTATTCATTTTTGTAAATGGAAATTATGCCTGAAAGTAGGCCATGGATTAAATATTGTATGTGTTTTTTTTATAAAAGGTTGGTAACACTGGTAAAGACACCCGGATACAACACTTTTTTTCAGCGTACACTTTTACACTGAATTTTTTAAAAAAAAGTGGCACCGTGTTAAATATTTTGGAATCGATTTATTTAAATTATAAAAGTGCCAAATTTACTGGATTTGAAATCGAGAGATATATAGGGACTTTGTTGGACCATTTACATTAAATCGGACGAAAAAAGCTATATCTAAATCTGAACCGATTTTTCCCAATTTCAATAGGGTTCGTCCTTGGGCCAAATAAGTTACTTGTGCGAAATTTCACCCAAATCGGATCTTAAATGCGACCTGTACTTTGTTCACAAAAATACATGGACGGACAGATGGACAGACGGACATGCGTAAATCGACTCAGAAAGTGATGCATATTCTCAAAAGGAATCATGTGTCTATCTCATTTCCTTTTGCCTGTTACAAACATATGCACAAAGACATAATGCCCTGTACCACAGTGTGATGAAGGGTATACAGATAGAGGATATGTTGTAATATTGTTTTCTCCATTTTGTAACGCCTAAAAGTAGCCTAATAATTTCAAAAGCTGACATGGAAACACAAAGCAAACAATCTGGCAACAGATCTGAATTTTTCTGTTTTTGGGGAATTGCAATTTCTTCAGTTTTCCCATCTGCGTACTAGGCAAACAGAATCGTGTAGCAGCAATATTTTGACACATGGTGAATTTTAAATGGTCATAACTCGGCGATGAATGGAGATATTTGAATGAAACTTTCACTATTGGATAAGTAAATTGATGTACTTTTTATGTGTATAGACAAATTCTGAAAAAATCTTAATAAAAAAAATCTTGCAATAGAGTACATTTTTTAAAGAATATTTTTTCAAGTACCAATAGAGCATGCAAGAATATGTTTTTAGTGCAGATAGTGGGGACAATTTTTAATAAATACTCACGTTCCTTTAGAAAAGAGATTATTTTTTAATACCAAGAGTGGGGATTTTTTACGGAATGTTTTTTTCTTTTAACCAAGAGAGTGTGGATTTTTTTTAAATTTGTTGAAGTGTCTGTAGAGTTTAGATTTTGAATTATACCTTTTTCAAGGTAATATGAGGCATGTGTGTCCGTCCGTCTGTCCATTATAATTTGTAAACACGATACAGGCCAAAGTTATGGACCAATCTTCACGACATTTTGCATGTAGGATGGGTTCTGGCCAATGAAGATACCTATTGTTTTTAGTAAAGATCAGACCAAAGAATAAGCATGCCTGTTTTGATAAAGATCGGTCAATATTTAGCGGGTCAAAAGGACCCTGACTTTTGTGTGAAAATTTATTTTTTTTATTTTTTATTTATATATTTACCCCTGAAGGACATAGAAGTTGCTAGTATATCCAAGAGGAGTCGTTGGCCTTTAAATTGATACCAATTATATTGTCGTATGTACTCAGATGTGGGAGTTACACGTAAATATTTGCAGGCGCTTACGTATTCATATATTATTACCACATTAGGGGGCGAAAATATAGCGCGGATCGCTTAGAAATTTTCTAAGAGGATCAAGGACAATGCCTATAATTTTGGCTGATGATCAGATAATAATATTGGGATGAAATGGACCGAAAAATTATATTTTTTGTGTTTTTTTTTTCGAGTCGATCTATAGGCAAAAATTGAAACCCGAACACAACACAACCCACGGTAAAGGAAATCTGGACAAGTAATTAGAGGGGCTGTACTGAATATTGGTAATAATAATATTTGTTGACCTCTATTCGGTCATGAGGGTGCAAATATCGCGATTTTCGTGGAAGTTGTGTAGGGTATATAAAGTGTGGATTTTTAAAGGCTTAATATGAGCCGTAAATTTTTTAGAGTGGAGCGGATCCATCTATTTCGTTCCTTTTTTTAAAAGGAACTAGTTTATTTGCTCCATATAGTTCCGACTCCTAGATAGTTCCTTTAAATCTCTTATTCATCGTTATTTTTATTTATTCCTTGTTGATCGGTGATGGAAGTAAAAAGTAAACAAATTGAGCAAAAATAAAAAAATGATTTAAATTAATTTATATTTAGTAGAATATTCAGAAGATAAGCAATAAATAATTTTTAAATAATTTTATTATTTACACAATAATAAATTGACGAGCATATCTTCTGAAAAACGAAGGAGAACGAATGAGGAAATGGAAATAAAGGAAAATTATCAGATTAGTGAAAGGAATGAGATCAGTAAAAGAAACTATAGGAACTAAAGAACTGGCCCTAGTTCCTATCATTCCTTTAAAGGAACTAGCTCGTTCCGGAACTACATAACTCTAGATTTTTGTAAGGCCTATCTGTCGACAATTCGATATTGCCTCAGGTTTTATTATTCGTTATATAAAGTACTTGCTTTTAACAAATAATTGACAAATAAATATGGACCGATTATTATGAAGAGTCAAGTTTGTTCACCCGATCCCATTCTCATAAGTCGGCCCGTTCGACTTGTTAACTTTGCTGACTGATTTTTATTTCATTTTGAGTTTTCATAAACATTGACAATTATTTTGCTTGTTCAAGACTATAAAAGCTAAAATCATCCACATGTATGTATGAATACCCAGATTGATTCCAATTGCAACTACAAAGTAATGGCAACCTATTATGTATTCACAAACCATCAACAATGCAATAAACAATATAATTTATTTTAATAAAGTACACTACAGCTTCAAACATAATGTCAAAATAGGTTATCTTTATTACACACACAGGACGTAATTAGATTTATCAGTTCCCCACAGAAATAAGGTTCGACCTCAACTTCTTTTTTTTTATTAAATAATTTTCATTTTAAATAAATTCAATTAAATTGTTATATTAAATTTCCAACAAAATCAGGCGTTATGGAAATTGACCTTTGCAGCAGCAGCAACAAAAATAAACAACAACTACAATAAAACAGTGCCAATGCCTATCAAATAATTTGCATATTGTGCGGTTTCTTTTATTTTAAACTTTACACAAAACCGGTCGACCCGTCGTCCACATGGAAAAAAAGAGTCATTCACACCCGGACATTGAAGTGGTTACAAACAATCACATACACTCAAACCGTCAGGCAAACAAACAGCAACAACAGATTTAACCCACTAAACTAATTTCTAACCATTTTTTCGGCTATTTGTTGTTGTTGTAAGAAATGTTATTACAACAAAACCAGTGTCATACTGCAGTACAAAAGCACAGTGTGAAAATAGTAGCAGAAGAAGAGAAACAAACAACAACAAACCAATTGTAAAACGCACGTGTCATTCCAAAAAACATACCGGGTCGAAGCTTTAGCTTCAAATGAAAGCTTTAGCTTTGAAATTATTTTTGGAAACTTTTAAAGTGTCAATGTTGTCAACCGTGTGATGTTCTTGAAAACGACAAATATAATAATTTATTCCCTCCACCATGAATTTGTGGTATTCCGCTTGCAATATCTTCTCGAATTGTTCTACGGAAACACCATAAAATATATCCTTGGTGAGAATAAATTCTATGACAATATATTTGTTTTGAACTTTTGCTCATACACGCATTTTTTGAAAAGGGAAAAGCTTATTCGTAAAACATGTTTAACATTACAACTATATTACGGTCAGTTTTTTCCTCTTTATGTTATTGGTCCGTCTCCCGACTAGCGAGAATTAATAGCACCACCACCAGGTCTCTACAGTTTTGATTTTAATAGGTGCTAGACATTTTTACTAGAGGCGCTAGGGTTTTGAAGGAAGAAAAACTTATTCGATAAAAATTGTCTACAGTAGTCTTGAGTTAGCTGCACTTTGGATTTAGCAGCCCAAAATAACTTCTTTGGTACTTTTTCTCAGCCCACTTAGGTCCAACCATATTTTCGGTATTTCGAATAGGTCCAGGTATTAAATTATTAAAATAAATTTGTGATCCATTTCAATATACGTCGATGTCCGAGAATAGATAGTATACTATCTCATGATTCATTCAACGACGATATTCGCCGTCGACCGTAGATCGGCCCACAGATCTTCCAAGAGCTGCCTCATC